CGCTGTCGATGTGTTCGAAGTCATAAAACCCGTCTGGCAGACTATAGTTCATCAAAAATCATCGCATAAAAATTGCACTAGCGCATTTCTTTCGGAAAATACACCGAAGCGACGAATGGTTCAAAAATGTGCTCAAGAAACATGCGTTTTTTTCAACTCCTTCCATAAATAGATCCGTTCTGCTTCGTCACATCCAATTGGAAGGTTACCCCTAGCCGGGTGTCACGAGAAAAAAGGGGGAGGAGAGAGGGGATGAATTGAGACGAGGACTGGAAGTACGGTGGCGGAGTGAATAAACGTCGAGGGATTAAGTGGAGTGTCCGGTGTCGGACACGGGTACGTAACGCTCACAGACGCTTTCATTGATATCCGCGGTCGACCACTTCATCAGTTCGCCGAATGAACGGGCGGGGTGGGGGTGGGGAGAACGTTCGTTGATTGTTTCGTGGTGAGCGGTGACAACGATACGACGCACAACGTGATTTTTTACTTTGAAATTCGGCCAAACGTGAATGGAGATGTTGCATATGTGAGGAATTCGCGATTTGACTACTGATTCTTGTGTAAAAGTTCGCGCGAAACACGATGGTGCCACTGGTTTTCTCTGAAATCAACTCCCAAGCTCAAAAAAGCTCTCAAGTTGAGGCCAAAATGGAGGGGATATCCCACGCTTTCCTGAGAGTCCACCTCTACATCGAGGCAAACTCTCCATGCAAAGATAGGGAGCAAAGACAATCGCAGTATTGCCGTGTTTTCAATTTTAGAGTGCCCAAATAAAGTGGCAGCCCTGTCAATGTATTTGCTCCCTCTCTTTGCACGGAGAGTTTGTCATGATGTAGAGGTGGACCCTTAGGATAGCGTGGGATATCCCCTCCATTTTGCCCTCAACTTTAGAGCTTTTTTTGAGCTTAGGAGTTGATTTCAGAGAAAACCAGTGGCACCATCGTATTTCTCGCAAAATTTTACAGACGAATCAGTAGTTAAATCGCGAATTCCTCACACATGCGAAATCTCCATTCTCCCCATCGAGTATAGGGCCAATGTAATGAGTCATTTGCACTAGTTACGGAATCACGTTTTGATGGTTTAGGCAAAACATCAGTCAGTGGCAAGGCGCTAATGATCAATTATGGATATTTCCCCATTTGAAGTTATGGTAAAGAATCCATTATTAAGGTGTTCACTGCGAAAACCCTGTTTATCGATCCTTTTCCATAGGTTTAAATTGCAGATCAATCGATTTATCGCAAAGCACGCCATATCACTGCAAAACATCGTAAGATCGTTCAGACGTCTAGTTTTCACGCCCAATATAAACCCTTAGATACCCGAGCTGGGGTCAAGTTGACCCGAGGCTTTAAAAACACGTAGTTCGCAGGTTATATGGGACTGATCGTAAAAACAAAAAACAAAAACAAAAATCAGACCACAAATTGAAAAAAAGGGGGAAAAATTGAGTGTCAGCTAATTATTTTTGATAACAACCCCTACAAATCCCAAGTCGGTTCAAATTTTTGCAACTATCTTTCCTCAAGGAATTTATTGGGCCAGTTTAATAATGTAGGTCTACATACCCCTAAAAAAATCAAACATCAAATTGAAAACAGAGAAGAAAATCAAGCGTCAATACAGCCAAAGATCGGAGAGACGTATTCAGGCCTCGCTTTTTAAGTTTGATAGCATAGCGCAGAGCTTGCGAGTACAAGCCTCGCGCCATCGCGCCTTCAATTTTGCACATGCAACACGGACATCCATCAAGCACGAATAGTTGTATCTCCGAGCCGACCCTCAGATCCACATGGACTACTTTGATATCTGATAGGAATATAGAATTGCCATCTGAATATACATGGCAGAGGAAATTTGTGCCGCTCTCTCTGTTGAAAATCATAAACAAGGGATTTATAAAACACAAACCTTTTTCCGGAAACCTGATTTCACATTAACCATCAGGATCTCCTCATTAGATATTTCCCTATAATTTGGGTTGTTTATGGAATATAATTAGTAGAGTTAATAAAGACATCCTGATTCTTTCGCGCCACTATATTTCGTTTAAGCCACTTATCTTACCGCGAATATTTTAAACTAATGTGAAACGCTCCCTGCTTACGTAATTTTCTCGGGTGTTCACCGCACGTGAATGGGTGCAGGAGAGCGCTTTAAGTGAGAAAATCGATGTGCAACTGAAGAACTTTGTATCTTAACGCCGAAATGTAAAATTGCATGAAGTTCATTGTAATGAATTTAAAAATATTCAAACATTGTAAATGGATGTATATATCGACGGTGTAAGTCCGCAATCACGTTTGCAAAGATGCAGACTTCCTGTCATTTTTAAATTGAAAACTACTCAACGTCAACTCTGAAAAACTGTGGTGATTTTTCTCCTCTGTGCTAAAAAATTTCTGCGAAAACCTCAAGGGATGATATCGATTTGTTCTCCTTTTAAAGAAATAAATTAGGAGCGGAGATTTTCAACGAGATGCGTAGTTACGGGATTACACCGTCGGTATTTGCCTAAAATTTTGGATATATCTGGAGCGCAAAAGCTGAAATCTTGAGTTGCAGTTTATTAAGATCAATTTAGTCCAAGCCTCAATGCTAAAACTTCATTTTGACGTCAGATATTTTAGTTAAAAATTGTTGCAATTTCAAAACTTTGCAAGATTTGGGATGCAAATTACACAGGCGACTCATGCAAACTTTCAGAATTATTTTACTCTGAACATCTCTTGAAAAAATTGTAACTTAGTAAAAGTAAAACTATTATACAGTAACCTTGCAATCTATGCTATTTGGAAAATGAGCGCTTATTCGGTTTATCAAAGTAACTGGAAAACCGTACCGCTTTAATTAGGATCGAGATTAGCAGAAATGATTTTTTTTTTAAAAATAAGAAAAAAAAACAAGGAGTCCGCATTTCCTTTAAAAAGAAAAGTTTTTGTTGAACAATTTTCATTTTAATAAACCGCAAGATTCTTGTTCCGTTCTTCCTAAACAAGAGACTCTTTGCAAAAAAAGTTTTTATTTTTTTTTATGTTAAATGTTTTCCTTCCTAATTCCGAATGCAAAAAGACCAAATCAATAATTCACAGAGAGGAACCATGTACACTGGTAGTTCTTACTAAGATTTCCTATTGGTGAAACCAATTCAGCGAAAGAAACCCACCACGTAGTGATGCCTACAGAGTTCTTCTAAGCAACTAATAAGCACACCCCTTGTTTTCCACAAAAATTGGTACCTTCTTGTTGATCCATTTGCTATTTGCACATTGCAAATCGATGAAATTCCTCTTTTGTCCCACCATAACCTTCCGATTCATTGAATACAATTATAAAACATCAAGTATGATAGGGGCATGCTGCTTGAATTCGTTCCTCACTCATTTCGGCTTAACGAAACTAATTGAACGGAACTCGTAGCAGTGGCGCGGCGTGAATAATCGATTCTCGATATCTCCCCATTTAAAACTATGGTAAAGAATCGATCATTACGGTGTTTGTTGCGAACACCCTGTTTATCGATCCTTTTCCATAGGTTTAAATGGTAGATAAATCGATGTATCGCAAAATACGCCACGCCACTGATTCCCAACTATTTTTGGTCGGATTCCTCGTTGGGATACCGCAGTGTGCGACGCGGTTTACAGCTGCTGTGATCCGATCTGAGGCCGCGCTGACCGCGAACTCCCCTCCCCCCATCCCCGACAACCGTATCAGGGTGTAAGTACGCTAACATTGTTTTTTCATTGCCTCTGGTGATTTTTGCCACGCTCTGTCCGAGTGCGGGACCGCGACTCTTTCCGGGGTTCTCTTTGTTTCCCTCGCGAAATGTGTATCAAAATGGATCGGGTTTGGGTGAAGGAGTCAAGGTTTTTGGGAAGCAAGGAAGTTACTGTTTTTAGGATTTATTTTTCTCCCTTTTCAAAGGTAAAAAAAAACTACAGTGGGGTGATCATTGAAATTGATAGACAAAGCGAAAAAGTCTCAATATGGACATTTCTAATTAATTGTGGTGGTACCCAAATAAATTAGGTTACAAACACAAATGTTGCGGTGCTATAAAAATTAATTGTAAATTTCCATATCATCCAACGAATTGGGGCACTTCCATGATTTTAGGGAATAATCCCTAACTTTTTTTCATGCAAAAAAGGAGAAAATGGAGCTATCCTATTGGTGGAAGCGGTAGTTGCAATGGACAAAGGAGATAAGTAATAGATTAACGGCAATCCACGTATAGTTTGCTTAGTTGGTTTATTTCTGTCCCTAAACTGTTTCCATAGATGTTTCTCCTTGTGGAAACACTGCGTAACAGGGTATAAGTCAGGACAGGTGAAGCTTGCAAACGACGAGATTCAAAGCGCCTTCAATTGACCGTATATACTAAAAATACACTCTGAGGTTCGAATAGTTATCTTCTGCGCCTGGTAATACTTCATCCGGTCAGGGCCTCTTCCTCTCCTCTTACAACCGGAACCCATCCTCTCTCATTCAAAAGAGTTCCGATTGTTGTACGACATATCATCGGCTGAACGATGCATATTTGATGCTTCCTATTAAAACCTGTGCCGCACGATTAATTTTCTGTAATGGTAAAATTCGTAGAGGTGCATGTTACGGACTTAAAATATCAACACGAAACACTCCCTGTGTTGTCAAACCAACCAAAAGAATGATGGTTTAAAATGTTTGGTGCAAAAACGAAAAAGCTCTTTCAAATTTCTGTCTGCCATTTTTGAGGCACTAAATTTCAAATCAAATGAGACTTCTCGCGCTCTGTTGGCACGGTAATTTACTACATTTTCCTTGGAGAGTACTGATTTTGAACAGTGTTTAATTTACAATCTACATCCCAAATTTAGCTTTTTCATCTAACTTCACACGAATTGTTCTATTTAGAAGTTTGTCTCCTTGTGCTATGAGGCACCCTCCCCCCCATCTCCGTAAGACCCCCGGCCGTAAAGACACATCCAAAGCAATAATGTGATTTTTACCTGATATTTCCTTTGTTTGTTGCGTATTTGATATGATTGCACAGGGCTTCGAACATGTTGCTTGTGGTCTGAACGGAGCGACAGTCGAATACCTGAGACAAAAAGAGAAACAAAATCAATAATTAAGATGAAAATTATAGAATTGACGTATTCCTCCTTTTGGATTACATGGTCCAATTTTGACTTCAACGATCAACCACTCGTTGAAAACATAAATCGCGCACCGCGGCTCGTCCCCAAATTGAAGATTCACAGAATTACTGTGCCTGCACTCGTGGGAACAACATTGCACAGTGAAAACTTCTGCAAAGAGTAAATCATTTGATTTATGGTTTGAATTTTATGATTTTCATCTGCCCCATAAAAAAGTGTCGCTAATGTCGGAAGTTGGAGTGAAACTGATGCGAACAGATGGTAATTTGTCGCAGTGATAAACCCGGCGCCGAAAAAAGAAGAAGAAAAAAAAATTAAAAGCCGGCAAGATTTACCGACGTCATTTGTATTCTTTTATCTTTGTTTATCTCGGTGTCAATTAAAAATACACTAATTGATGCTGGAACCGAGCAGGGCTTAACTTGGCGCTTGCAGGCGCGTTGTCAGATCGGGGGGAAATTTCCGTTTTTGTCTCGCTCTCGGCCGTATCGATTGGAATGCAACCCCAGCATTGGCATAAGTCATTTGGATCGCATTTGAGGCCTTATCTGTAACAATGGCGGATGTGAAAAATTACCTCTTCGAAACACGCTTAAGAAACTATTTTGTTCACACAAAAATATAATATGTATGGCTCTGGCATAATGTACAGATCTCAAAGATCACATCTCAAGTATTTTTTCGAAAATTTTCTCGATGCCAAAACAGTTTTTTTAATGTGTTTCGAAAAAATAATTTTTCACATCCGCCATTGTTACATAGAAGTCCTTATTTTAGCAAAAAGGGACCAGCGCGGTTATATTGTTTTCAAAATTTTGCAATTTCTTCTTCTCTTTTAAAAATATCTAATTCAAATACATTTTAAAATAATTTACGCATTATTTTTCTTTAAAATTAACACTTTTTTGGTGAGAGGCAAAAACTATTCGCTATTTTGGAAGAAGTTTTAGATAATTATGAAGAAGCAACATTTTCACAACACTAATCGCGCTGGTTCCTTTTTGCTAAATACGATCCAGATTTGCGCGCGGGCTGGTTATTAAAATTGATGAACAAGGCGAAATAAAAAGAAGACAAAAAGATCATAATGGAGTGACCCTATTGGTTGAAACGGGTGGATGTTATGAACTAAGAAAGGACATTACAAATTAATCATAGGGTCCTTTGTTATTTGCTGTCAGTTAGTATCTTACTTACCTCCTCAGTCCATTACAATATTCACCACCCGCTCTCACCAATAGGATTACTTCATTTCCCTTTTAACTTGCGAATGTTATTTTAGCATTCACGGGTGGTTTCACGATAACTGGAATAGTTATGTCGCCGTAACAGATAACACATTTTTCGGTCATATTTTTAGTAGTAATGATAATCACTCGAATTTTTCGCATTAGTCTTCAAATGGTCATGGATTATACCGCTTTCTAATGATTTATTGATCTAATTCTCAATTAATATTATGTAAAATCCGAAAATGTGCTGTCTGTTACGCGGTAAAAAGTCAGCGTAACAGACAGCACATTTTCGGCCATTTATATATCAAAATTGAAAAGTTGAGCGATGAATCTTTGAAAAGCGTTATAACAAGTAACCCTGTGTAGATTAATGCAAAACAATTCGAGTGATTATCATTACTACTAAGAATATGACCGAAAAATGTGTTGTCTGTTACGGCGACAAAACTATTCCAGTTATCGTAAAACCACCCTCAGAATGTTAAAAAAAATGTGCGACAAGTATCTGATGCTAATTTTACATATATAATATCCATATCAAATAATCGATTCTTGTCAAAGCACTTGGCCCCTCCTAGAATCGATAAATTTACAAGGGTTTAAATGGAGAAAAAAAATGTTGCCAATTTGCTGGATCCGCCAATAATACATGCCTTTCCCTCTCTACCTTTTCTCGGATTCATTTGTTAAGTGACTGTATTCTGCTTCAAAGGGAGACTTTCTCGGCTTAGGATTGGGGAAATATGCACATAGGCCGTTTACGATGCAGCTGTTACGTGAAATGAGGAGGCAATATATCACCTAAAACAATTACAGTTGTGTTCGAGGAGTTAATGCTCATTAATGTGGTCCGATAGCCAATTTATATTTGCGCCAAATACACACCCAGTGCAATCAAAAGCGCGAGATGAGAAGGACCCAAAGGTAATTAGACGCATGCCTCCGGTAAGGTAATGGTCATTATCGTCGCTACGTGACGAAAAGGCGTAACTCCATTTTCACGAGAGTTTCGGATAACTAGGATTTCTATGGACGAGCGAAATCTTTCCAAAGTGATTGTTACGTCTTTTTGCCGGTATGGCCACTTACATTGCGGAATTAGAACTTGAAGACTCGCAAGAACGATTTACAATATCGACTGATTTTGCTCAATTCAATGAATATTCATACATATATTAAATAATCGAAAACACAGGAAAAAGCGGAAACAAGGCTAAAAATACACAATAAAAGGCAGGACGTTTCGGTACCTTACGGCACCATTATCAACTGCAAAAAGAATTAAAAATAAAAATAAATTAAAATAAAAACCAGCAAACGGCGTTACATCTGGCGTAAACGCCGATTTCCTGTGTTTTCGATTATCGTTTCCGTTTCGGGCTGCTTTTACATACCCTTTGTTTTCCACTATATTAAATAATTAAAGAAAAAACCATGTATCGGACACTCAAGACTCAAGTCTTTGTTCACCTCACGTAGTTTTGTGGGCTGTACCTTTTGCCTATGAAAAATATTTTCCAAAAATTTTGAACCAAAAATCTACCTATGACCCTTTGGAAAAATGAAGTTAGGGCGAAAATCGTGAAGCACTGCAATCGATATCGCAATTATCGCATCGTATTGCATGCATTGTATCGTTGAAATCCAGGTGATTAAGATAGGTGCATTTCTAAGACACAGTTTGCAATGGGTCCGTTGCACACAAACGCACGCAGCCAACAGAAGACACTATCAAAAACCACGTTAAAACCATTAGAAATATTTAAAAAACACTTCAAAACGCACAATTAGCGTTGTTACTATCATGCGTTTTCAAATTGACCGTGTCCCTGGGGATTTCTTTCTTAGTTGAACGGCAGCAGCACGGTTTGCCCACGGAAAGACGTATAAGGGAGTTTTACCTAAATAAACACACAGTCTTAAAAACTATTATCAATCTTTCGCAAGTATACGACAGCATACGCTACTATCGTGGTATCATGACACCATGATGGTAGTATAGGTAGCATTTGGTTCTGCTTTCAAATTTATTAATGGAGAAGGGAAATTGTTTTAAAACAAGTGCGATCGTATATCGACGGTGAAACTACCAAACCACGTATCTCGGTTTGCGACGTCGCAGACTTCCTGTCATACTTTATTTTTTAAATGAAAAACTACTTAACGTCCAGTCTTGAAAATTTCTGTGATTTTTCCTCTTCGTGCGGAGAAAATTCCGCGAAAATTTCAAGGAATGATATTGATTTGGTCTACTTCAAAAAAATAAAGTGCGAGCGTAGATTTTTAAACACCGCAAACGAGATACGTGGTTTGGTAGTTTCACCGTCGATATGAGAAAGATCGATGACAGTTAAATGTTTTAAAATGGGCGATACGGACTACTCGAATTCGTCGTTTTCCGGAGAAAGGAACGTAACTTAAAAATGCAAAATGGACTCAAACAACTCGATTATCCACGCAAAAATATGAGTGTGCAATTTTGCCCCAAAATTTGTCTAATTTTTGCATGAGAATCGAAGAAAAATCAGGGAAATTTTCAATTAGAAATGTCCAAGCTTTTCCTCGTAAGGAGACCGTTTGAGAGGGGAAATTTGACGACATACACTGAAAAAGATAGTTCTGTTCACAGAGCACCTACACTTCTTTTGTAATAGTTACAGAAGCTTCCGTTATGAGGACAGAGTACTCTGTTCCCACGACCGATGTTTTGTTCTCACAACAGAAAAATTCTGTAAATGTAAAAAAAAACTGCAGGAGCCGTGTGAACAGAAGGTTCTGCCGTCAGCACCATCTATTTTTTTCTGTGTAGAAATTTAGTTACCTCCTTTCGTGAGGAAAACGACAAATTGTGCTTTTCGGAATGTATTTTAGCTATATTTGGACCGCGTTAAGCAGAAAGGAACCAAGCCACATCAGCTATTGCCAAATTTAACTGTGCAATCAAATTTTTTACACGAAAACAGTTGCGCGGATTTATGTGCTAAGTTCAAGGAATATTCTGCGCCGCGCGAGGAAAATTCCTTTACATGTTCAAAGGAATCCGCACAAACGTTCTTTTGTAAAAATTAAATTACCCAATTGAATGCAGCAATAGCTGATGTGGCTTAGTTCCTTAAAATTTCTAGTAAACGCGCAGTCCACTTGATCATCTCAACGTAATATTCGTGCGATAATACCGAATGCAATTGGCAATGTCTCTTTCTCTGAAAAGAGGGGATTTGACAACTTGGAGCTTGGGGACTATCTGAGGAAGTTAGCGCCCTTTCTGGCCCCCTTCTCCTCCCTCTACCCATCGAAGGCCGGGACTGGGACAGGGTCTGGCTCAGCACGCTCCGCCATGGGGTGGCGCTTGACACTTCCCGGCAGAGGAAACAGACCCTTCGTTTCGCCTCCTGAACAACACCCCCTCCCTCCCCGCCGATCCGTTTAGCAGTTCAAGAGGATAGCTGCCCCGTATTAAATTCCATTCCCTTTAAAATGTTTTTACGAGCTCATTTAAACTTAAGCGCCGATAAAAGCCTGTTTAATTTCGTCGATTGCGGTTGAGACCGCCCATTTCGCAATTTGGAGAAAAACCACCTGTGCAAATTTCTCTCGGGTCGCTTCAGGAGAGGTTGCCACGCTTGAAATTGGCTGTCTTAGTTGACACGTCATTGTTCTCTACAGGGTGGTCTGAAAGTCCCGCACCACTGATATCGAGCATC